TGGAAAAAGAGGGGGAAAAGGCAACAAGTTACATAACTGAAATAAAAACAAAATTTAAATATTTTTTACAGAAAATGTTGTGTTTGCCCATGCAAAACTCTCCACAATGTAGGCAACTGAAAAGATGATGGTAGGGTGTTGTGGGCTGATTTTAATTGAGAGAGCCACAAAAAAGATCCCAAATCCCTATGGCATTTTTGTCACTAAATATGGTTTACCTTTTCAGTTGACTAAACAGGCAGTGTTTAGTGTAAGAAAGCATTTCCTAAGGAAACTGGATTGGCTTCCAAGGCACAATAATGGCATGTCTAATGATATAAAGCAATTTCAAGTTTTAGAGATAACTGCAAATATTTTGTGACTACAATATTTATTTTACTGTAGAACTGGAGTCTTAAGTTGACTCGTCATTTAAAAGTTTAAGGTCAGTAAGATTTTTTTTTTAAACAATTATTCAACAAGGATGCACTGAACTAATCAAAACTGACCGTTTTTTTCAGACATTCGGACATTTATTATGTTATTTAAAAAAACTATTTAAAAAAATGCTGTTCTTTTAAATTAACTTTTTTTCCACCAAAGATTTTTTTTTTTAAGTATCACAGTTTCCACAAAAATATTAAGCAGCACAATTGTTTCTTGATCCCCAAATCAGCATATTACAATGTTTTCTGAAAGATCATAAGAAAATTCAGCTTTACCATCACAGGAATAAATTAAATTTTAAAATACATGAAAATGGATAGTTATAGAGTTATTTTATTTGTTAATAATATTTCATAATATTACTTTTAACTGTACTTTTGATCAAATAAATGCAGTCTTGGTGAGCATAAGCTCATAACCAACCCCAAACCTTTGAATGAAAAATGTATACATAAATATAACAAATAAACACACCATAAATAACAAACACATTATTTGGTCAATCAACTGCATGTACAGAATTGTGCGATATCACAGGCAATGAAGGAAAAAAACAACCAATGCTGTGAAAAGCCACTATTAATTTATTTGAGCAACAAAGTATGAACAACAGCATTATTTCTGATAACTTTTCCCTTCTTTATATTGTATAAACAACATCTAAAGCAAAGCGTATCAATAATACTGTAAAGAGATTCAGTTGCATGTGACTCATAAATCACAGTCTCTAATTAGTGAAGACACCAGCCAACAGCTGCATGCTGAAGAACGAAAAGGAGCGGCGCTCCGAAACGAACACTTTGAAGAATCCACTGCTCCATCTTAAGGCTTAGCAAAGTGCCAGGGTCTATTTTTAGACCCTGTGTGGAGCTGAGGGATGGGATGAAGGGAGGAGTGGACCAGAAAGAAGTGTAGAGTTGAGAAAAGAACAGAAGAAAAGGGAGTCGTGAGGATGAAGGACAGGAATGCTAAGGAAAAGAAAAGGAAGAGGAGGAAGAAAGAAAAAAAAATGTAGGCAATCTCAATGCATGGAGCAGACCTGCAATGCCGCCAGACGTCCAACGGGGCCGCCATCGCCCACGCTAACAGTCTGCCAGAGTGTCTGCAGATGACATCACTGCAGAGAAGAGGGTTTCCACACAGGATGATGTCATCCCTTTATATTCCCCCCTCCTTTTTTCTCACTCACTGTCAAATACACTTTCTCTGCGCCTCTGCTCGCTACACACATGGGCGGTCAGGCTATGTGCCAGCGGATGAGACTGTTTCAGAGGACAGGTGAAAATTCCTGCAGTCTGGGCTTTCTGCTATGATGTAATCCCTTTCCGCCACTTCAACCGTGCCAAGCTGGTCCGACACAGGCTTCCTCCGAGAGAGGGAATCTGAAATGTCTGTTGCCTTGGATACCACAGCCCCTTCTGCAGCGTTCATTCCCATCGCTATTTATTGCAAATGCAACATGTTTGGGGGGTTTTTTTTTGGTGCTTTTTTCCAACAATGTCTAGAAACCCATGTTCTTTGCGTCAGTCTATCGGTGTGGAGGACGTGAGCCGTGACTGAGTGATCTGCTAGCTTACTCACTCAAGGTCACTGTTTCAATTCTGCTCCAGACTCCGGGGACAGAAGGCCATTCCAATCTCTCGGTTGCAAATAGAAAGCGTCAGCCTGCACAACAGCGGCATTTGAAGCTAATACACCCTCGTGCCCATGTATTGAGACGGAATATGCCAGGAGACTAAAGTAACCCTTCATCAATTACAAAAGATCACTCTGCAAGTAAATCTGTTACATACCACCGTTATTCAGCATACATGAAAACGTAAAACTTATTTGTCCCATGATGAAAAGGCATAATGCGCTGATGAAGGTTGTTTTCATGCTCAATCCAGTGAGAGTGAGACCAATGTCACAGATTCAGGATGAAGGAGAATTCCTCCTCTATTATGTCATGTATGACATTATGTAATACAATAGGCAATTGGGAATCACTGCTTCATCTAAAAAGGATTTGTTACAGTGAAAGGTTGTCATTGTATCAAGTAATACAGGACATCATCATGTAGTATAAATTCAGGAAATCACCTATGTCAGGAAGTCTTAAATCATCTGCATTGGTGTTTGTTTTTTTTACAACAAATTGGAAGAAAGTTTATATAATCATTACTTTATTGTTTAATTTAATAATTCATTAATTTATTTCTTGGTTATTTACTTTAATAAATATTTACTTATTTAATTTGTTCAATTATTTATTTTTTTCTTCATTCATTCATTTACAAATTGGAAAATTTATGACAATGATCACTTTATTCTTTAATTCAACAATTTATTTATATGTTGGTTTATTTATTCAATTATTTATTATTTACAACAAATTGGAAGAAAATGTATGACATTACGATTGCCAGGTCACTAATCAAATGTATGCAAATTTGTGACACTGACAGTGTGTACAAACATCAGATGTTCTTAGTTTTAGAAGCACAAGATGCTTTGGATCATTCTCAAATCATGCTGGATGACATACATGATGATCACGTTCAACAAAACAGACGTTTTTCGGATTTTTGAACCCACTGTATGTTTGGCAGGATATATTGACAAGAAGTAAAAATACCAAATCGATTCTATTCTGGTGGTTTCTCGCCTACATACTGCAGTTGTAGTTCAGCATCTGCCCTGTGCAATGCAGTGAGAATTTTTAGGGGCACCAGAAAAGGACAAATGTGACCCTGTTGCACAAAACTTAAATGAAGTCTTAAGTCGCTGGGGTATATTTGTAGCAATAGCCAAAAATACATAGTATGGGTCAAAATTATAGATTTTTCTTTTATGCCAAAAATCATTGGGACATTAAGTAAAGATCATGTTCCATAAAGATATTTTGTAAATTTCCTACTGTAAATATATCAAAACTTAATTTTTGATTAGTAATATGCATTGCTAAGAACATCATTTGGACAACTTTAAAGGCGATTTTCTCAATATTTTGATTTTTTTGCACCCTCAGATTCCAGATTTTCAAATAGATGTATCTCGGCCAAATATTGTCCTATCCTAACAAAGTTTATTTATTCAGCTTTCAGATGATGTATAAATCTCAATTTCAAAAAATTGACCCTTAAGACTGGTTTTGTGGTCCAGGGTCACAAATGTTTTCAGATAAAAGACAAAGATGTAGTGTTTCTAAGATCTAGTTGTGTATCACCAGATTGCTCTGCAGACTGACTCACAATGCACTATCAAGTACGCTGATGCAGAAGGTGGGCGCCCAAGGCTGTTACTCGGGCTGCAGGTGTATTTCCCAGCATCCTCAGGTTTCACCTGGGAGATGATGAGCGAACCGTCGATCAGAATACTCACTCTGCGCTTTAGATCACTGGAGAGAGAGAAAGAAAGATTGACAAAGAAGAATCAAAAGAGAAAGTTGAATTAGCATCAATAGTAATGATGATTCACACAGTTTACACTGCTTACAAGTCATTATTGTGCTTACAAGTCTACCGTTCATAAATTTGGGTTCAGTAATATTTTTTTTTGTTCTGTTGAACTTTCCATTTATCCTGAAAAAAAAAAAAATCGTGGTTTCCAGAAAAATATTAAGCAGCACAACTGTTTTCAATATTGATAATAAGAGAATGTTTCTTGAGCACCAAATCAGCATATTAGAATGATTTCTGAAATATCTTGCGACACTGAGTAATGGCTTCTGAACATTCAGCTTTGTCATCACAGGAAAAGAAAATTAAAACAGAATACAGTTATTTAAAATTATAATAATATTTCACAATATTAACTGTTATTTTACACCAAATAAACACAACCTTGGTGAGCCTAAGACACAGCTAATACATTAAAAATAATCTTACCGACCCCAAACTTTTGAACAGTAGTGTTCAATATTTTTTATGTTCCATTACTGGAACGACATGAAAGTTTGTAAATAATGAAATTTTTTTTCTAAACTATCCCTATAAATATGTATGCCTGTGTCAATTAATTTAAAACCAGATAATAAAGCACAATTCAAAGCTTCATGAATTACAATCTACTCTTTCAACAAGAACAGATGGAGTGTCCGGGGCAGAGATCAGAGGCAAAAAAAAAAGAAAACCCTCCAGTGGACAAAATGCTTGCGTGGCCTCTATTCTTGCCTGTGCTTCCACCTGTCCTGCTGCACAGAGCCGCTATAAAAAGGAAAAACCATAATATCCTTTTTCTATAGAGTGTACAGGCCACGCATGAGGGCGTCTTGGATGGCTCAGGGCAACGCTACTTCTAATCAGTGCTAGCGGAGTGTATGATGACACAAGCGCTATGTGTACTATGTGTTTCTATGTTTACTAGACTATCATGGTGTTACCTTAGCAACATGCTATTGCTAAAGTTAAAGGAAATCAATAGGTCTTCATGTGAGGAGTTGCTTTCTATGTATAACATTCCCAATTAGTCACTTATAAGGCATCAAAGTATTTCAGTCCGTCAGAACGTTTATAAAGGTGCACGCAGTGCAAGCAAGATACGAATGAGACAATCTGAGGTGTATGAGACCTCCAAACAAGTGTAATGACACTGACACATGCACACAATGTAAACACAAGTGAGAAACACAGCAAACTGTCATAGTGAACTTTCATTGTGACACTTTTTTTTCTGTTTAAACTATTTTATTTCTTCTATGATTTCAGTTGTAGGTGGCTCAGAACTTGGCACTAAATGAATCTTTTTTTGACTGACAACTCTTTAAAAATACATTTAACTTAAAAATGCATCTGTTTATCAATGGATGAACACTACCATTCAAATGTTTAGGGTCGGAAAGATTTTTTGATCAAATAAATTCAGCCCTAGTTTTATAATTTAAAAGAACTGTTTTCTAAGGAAGCCAATTTCTGTCACGGAATATAAAAATAAAAACCGTAATTGTGATGTATTATCTTAAAATTATGTTTGTTTGTTTTTTCTTGCAGTTCTGGGGTTATACCTCACAATTCTCACAGTTACCTTTTTTATTTTATTTTTTTATTCTGTGGTGGAAACAAAAAAACTGAATTGTGACATGTAAACTTAAAATTGAAAAAAAAAGAAAAGAAAAAAAAAATCAGAATTGCAGTTATAAACTCTGAGAATTTAAACTTACAACTCTGAGAAGAAAAGTCTGCATTGTTAAATATTAGATAAACTTGCAACAGTGGGAAAAAAAAGACAGAATTGCGAGATGTAAACTCAGAATTTAAAAAAGTCAGAATTACAAGATGCAAACTCAGAATTCTGAGAAAAATAGGTCAGAATGGTAAGCTATGAACTGAAAATAGTTGAACAGTTGAAACTGTTAAAAACAGTGCTGCTTAACATTTTTGTGTAAACTGTGATAGAATATTTTTCAGGATTCTTTCAAAAGAACAGCATTTACTTTTTTTGTATTATTAAAAAAATCAATAAATAAAAAATAAAAAATTGAACTGACGCCAAACTATTGAACAGTAGTGTACAGTACATCAGTGGTGGCATATTTAGTTGCATTTTGGGCACCTATGATAACATTTCGGTTTTCTATGACAATGTCACAACACAATTACACAAGGCTAAAACAGTATCACAATGGCCATAGTCCCTAAAACTCACTGATGCCTCAATGATGATGATGAAACTACATGGACTGTGACAAACTCCGCATGGACACAGGACAGTGTGGGTATGGTACAGTAATGAACCCGATCATAACTTTACTTCTTGAAGAAGACGTTATCTTCCTCCCAGAACCAGGTGTACGTTAGGTTGCCAGGATACGCCTCAGCCTGACAAGTGAAGAATGCATCCTGGGATATGTTTACGGTTATGTTCTCTGGCGGTGAAACAATAAATGGGGGTCCTGAAATAGAAAAGAGACACATAATAAATCAGCATTACATATCAGGATGTGTCACATCCTATTGGAGCATATAGCAATCTTCAAGTCCTCTTCAAGGTTAAAAACAATAGTATTGGAGAAAAGATTTCCTATAAATGTTTCTAATAATATACACTTTCGTTCTGTCATTTGTATTCAACAGCTGTTTGACAATGTCAGTCGATTGTGGAGTGAAGCATACAATATTGGATTCATCAATACCTCATTTACAGTGGTGTACATGCTGAATACCGAATGGTATCATACTGAATGAGTTAATAGAGATTTAAATGAGATAATGTAGGTTCCACTCAGCTGTACCGTACATATTTGGACCAGCCGTCATTTGAATATCATTGGCTAAGATGATAAGAATTCTACCCAGTCTGACAATCTGCAACGGCCAACCCACAGATCTCACTCTACCGCCCACTGTGGGCATCGCTTCAGTTGGCAGTGCCAGTGTAAAGAGAGGGCTCTTCTGTGGAGAAAGCCTGCAGAGAGCTCCCAGTGCAGGCACGGACTCTACAGATGCTCTCCATCCTGCTCGACAGCACACACACATTACAGTACAAAAACAAACTCGCTAGACAGTCAACGTGTCTACAAAACAATGTTTCTGCAACTTGGCACTTTTATGTCTCAGCAGTTGATTTAAACTAACAGATTTTTTGTTCTTCTTTTTGTTAACTGAAGGTCTTATTAAAATGGCAATTCTTTCACTCAGTTTTGCATTCATTTATTTTTGATACTTCTCAACTGATTTCCATGTATTTCTTTTATTGTTTGGCCCTTGGCATCTTCAAATGTTTCATACAGTAGTCTAGACCAGTACAGAAATTCCCTGAAAACATTTTTGGTCTGGTCCAAAGTCATTATAACAAGAAAGTTTCTCTTTACTGTGAACAAGTTTCTCATTATCATGAATTACAGAATCAGATTTCTTTACTCAACTATGGCAGAAACAGGCTTCAATACTAAAGCACCCCTTCACCAACACCAAATCAGTATTGATTGTGCTATTATACAGGATATCATTTGGCATTATAGTTATTAGAATTAAATGGCTACTATTACAATGATTCACTTTAACCATTCAGTACAGTGGGTGAAAAAGAAATTCAAAAGAATTCAAGAAAAATTCATTTTATGACTGCATTGATTTTGATACTGGTTTGATTGGCATTTGATGGGACAAAAATAGGAAGGAGTGCTTTATTGTTGTCTAGAAGTGTGAATAAGGTGAATAAAGAACACGGTTGCAGAAATCTGCCACTGAAATTTAATTTTAATCTTTTGACAGCTTTTATATTTGTATAAAAATCTTACCAAGTAAAGTAAATCATATTTATGATTATGAGTAGGCCACAGCCACCCATTTTTTTTATTAAAAAAAAAACAACTTACAAATAGACAATAAAAGTTATAAATCCATTGCGTTACTGGGTTAAATGCTAACATGGCATGCTAAAAGCAGCAGACAGAACAGATAGGGAACCCAACAGGAAAAAGCTTCTTTGGCAACACTATGGTGAAAAATCTCTGACAGTGAACCCATTACTGCTATATACTGTACCAGACAGCCAACATATGGAGTCCAATTATCTCTGTAGCTCTGCAGCATGGGTGCCATGCAGCATGCAGCTTTGCAAGCATGACTGTACACACATACACAGACACAAACACACACACACAGAGGACTGTTCAAACACACTGCACAGCACTCTGACAACATGATAGTGATGTCATTCAATTCATAGCAAACAATAAAGTCATGAGGAAACAGTTTAGGGCAGTTTTGGTGCTACCTTGGACGAGTAGGCGTGTAGTATGGACGACCTCTCCCTGCTCGCTGTATGCTCGGCATGTATACGCTCCCCTGTCCTCACGGCTGATAGAAACAATCGTCAGGCTGCCATCACTCACCTGTGGAGAGAGGTCACAGCATCACCTACTAAGATACAAAGCTACGACAATCACACACAGCACTGTGTATGTATGTATGTATATGTGTATATACTGTATATGTATGTACATATATATATATACACACATATTAAAAACGCTTTCATATTTTTCTGCAACTGCTCTTATTTTTTTCATCATAAAATATTTACACTAGAATACAGTAGATCTTAAATAATTTTTCTTAAATAATTGTTAAATAGTTTTTTAGTGTTAAGCTTACTAAATTTAGTTATTTTGTATAGATTATTCATATTTTATGAAACAAGTCTTGTTGAGAATACGATTTAAAGGGATAGTTCACCCAAAACAAGAAAATTACCCCTACGCTCTACATCATATGCTGGTACGCCACTCTCTAGTGAACACACATACGACAGTTAGCAGAAACTAGAGATTACGGTTTATAAAGTTTTAAATATGGATATTTTTCTTACACAAACACATTGATTCACTTCAGAAGGCCTTTATTAACCCCCTGGAGCCGTGTGGAGCACTTTTTATGATGGATGGACTCTATTTTGGACTCTACTCTGAATTTTTTGGGCTTCAAAATCTCGACCCCCATTGACTGCCATTATAAAGCTTGGAAGAGTCAGGACATGTTTTAATATAACTCTGATTGTATTCGTCTGAAAGAAGAAAGTCATATATTTTAAAAATTATTTTCTAGCATTAACATTGGGACAAGTCAAGAGGCTTAAGGGTCAAAAGATCAAAAAGTCTCCTCAAAAGTGGATGCCAACTGTTTCAGGACTCAGGAGAAGAACAGTTCATTCTCATTTTTCAGAATCATTTCTCATATTCTTGTCTTTTGTCATGATGGTAATGTCCAGCATTATTTTTATAAAACTAAGAAAAAACTAACTCAAATACAAAAAGAATTTCTTCCTTAATTAGTAGACCATACTTTTTTTTAAAAGAAGTGTGAAATTTTTACTGAACAAAAATATTTTCCTCTTTCTTTAGTAACATTTATTTAAAAAAAAAAGTAAAATACTAAAATGTATTTAAAATTAATGGTATATTTACTATCAGCAAGGGAGGGGGAAAAAAAACTTTACTAATTTTTGAATGCAATTCGCTGCCAATCATAATCTCATAGGAAATATGTGACTGGGCACAACTAGTCTTGGAACAGTGTAATAGTTCCGCCGCTCTCCGTAGACAGACCTGACAGATAAGGGACTCAACAGAGCATCTCTTCTCCCCGGCCTGTCAGAGCTGGACGGTTAACGATACATGAGGGTCACTTTATTGTTGCCGGTCAAGCAGGTGAAGAGTACTTTGAGGAAAAAAAAGTGCAAGAGTGGAGACAGATGACATGGATTGATGGTAAAGTAAAGCCTTCGCTGAGGGGCTCTCTGATGAATTATTCAGCGTTCCATCAGACGGTGTAATAGCAAGACCTACTAGCAAGCATCATCATCACAGTTCATGTGATATCAAGCATGTGTGACTTTCTCCTTAGAAGACTTACACACACCTTGAGGCGAATATTTCTTCTATTTTGGATGTTAAACTTTGTTTTTTGATTTGAAAAGAATGTGCACTGGGTGAGAACCAGTGTTGTTATTGTTAACTAAAACAGTATTTGAAATAAAGCTGGAATAAAATAAAAGTAGACATTAGATAAATATTAGATGGATAAACTTAGAAATATAGATAAAACTTAAGATATATAGATAAACTTAGTTAAAATTAGAAGTGTTGCCTTAGCAACTAAATAGTTCATTTTAAAATTGAAGTACTAAAATTATTACAACTAAAACCAAAATAAATTTAAGCTACAATATATAGAAAAAAAAACTATTACAAAAATTAGACTACAAAAATTAAATGAAAACTGAAAATATAAAAAATAAAAGTTAATTCAAAATATTAATAAATACTATATAAATAATGCTAAACTAACACTGGTGAAAGCAACTTACAAATAATGTATTTTATCTGTATACACAGCTACATTTGGTCACCGATGGAGCAAGGTTCTCTGGACGGTTAACGATACATGAGGGTCACTTTATTGTTGCCGGTCAAGCAGGTGAAGAGTACTTTGAGGAAAAAAAAGTGCAAGAGTGGAGACAGATGACATGGATTGATGGTAAAGTAAAGCCTTCGCTGAGGGGCTCTCTGATGAATTATTCAGCGTTCCATCAGACGGTGTAATAGCAAGACCTACTAGCAAGCATCATCATTACAGTTCATGTGATATCAAGCATGTGTGACTTTCTCCTTAGAAGACTTACACACACCTTGAGGCGAATATTTCTTCTATTTTGGATGTTAAACTTTGGTTTTTGATTTGAAAAGAATGTGCACTGGGGTGAGAACCAGTGTTGTTATTGTTAACTAAAACAGTATTTGAAATAAAGCTGGAATAAAATAAAAGTAGACATTAGATAAATATTAGATGGATAAACTTAGAAATATAGATAAAACTTAAGATATATAGATAAACTTAGTTAAAATTAGAAGTGTTGCCTTAGCAACTAAATAGTTCATTTTAAAATTGAAGTACTAAAATTATTACAACTAAAACCAAAATAAATTTAAGCTACAATATATAGAAAAAAAAACTATTACAAAAATTAGACTACAAAAATTAAATGAAAACTGAAAATATAAAAAATAAAAGTTAATTCAAAATATTAATAAATACTATATAAATAATGCTAAACTAACACTGGTGAAAGCAACTTACAAATAATGTATTTTATCTGTATACACAGCTACATTTGGTCACCGATGGAGAAAGGTTCTTTTTTGAATTTTTAGTTTTTTAGAACATTTATCCAGCAGAAGTTAACTGGACCATGCTAACCAGCCAAACCTTGACCCCTTGACATGAACATACACACTCCGTCGCTTTTACAAACTGAACATACATGCATTCAGTCTACAAATAGGCAGCATGAGGTTAAGTACAGCGGCTAATTTATTCAACAAACGTCAGCAGTCTGAGACTCCGCTGTGGATCCCAGTCTCCGTAATTACACTAATTACACAGACGGCTACGGTAGACCCAACAACAACACACATGTCTAATAAATCATAGCACACCACTTCAGAATAAATAAAAAACATTACTGTGATTGATACATATTATTTAGCATTATTCAAAGACTCCATTCCAACTTCCATTCATAAATAACCCTGATATTGGCTAAATTAATCCACGGCTATGTCTTTTTAAGGAGTTGAAAAAATGTTGATGTTCCTTTGTTGAACATTATGGAAGTAAAACTGGTTGTAAACTGTGATTCATGACTTTAAGAAACATTATTCTGTTTTGTAGTCAACAAAGCGGTACTTGAGCATCATTGGCGTAGTCTTGTACCTTTGTCTTTTTGTCTGATTTTCTATTCGCCTCGCTAGTTTGTTTGGATTCTTAAAATAATTTTTTAGAATCTCTATAGGAAAAATGTATGGGAAAAATACTTTTGGAACCGAGTGTGCTAAAAAAAATTGGGCCAGCTCTGTTGTACTTTATGGAGGTACATTTGATAAAAATAGGTGTGGAAACACTGATTTAGGATGGGATTCCTCTCTTTTAAAGACTATTAAAAGAGGTGAGTCTGTACTAACTTACCACATCATTATGCTTCAAACATATCCAGCAAAAAAGCTAAGCAATTGTAACCAGAAGCTGTCCTCTTTCCTCTGTAAATAAGATTAGAGATCTAATCAGTCAAAACAATGCTCTATTTTGACTGAACAAAGAGCTCGCCATCATTCAAATTAACAAGCAACGAATACCGTTGTTCCTCTCCTGATGTTACCTCACCTTACTTCAAAAGTGTTCAATCACTGAGCAAAGCTCGTCGCTGACAGGCTGTCATTTCTCTGCTGTGTGTGAGAAGATGGAGATCTCTCGATGGGCTCTTGTAAATCAAACTCTTTTCAGGCTGAGAACTGAGCCATCCGTTCCTGTAGGAATCTCTGTGCTTAGTCTTCAGCGAGCAGATGGTTTATATGCAGGAAGCGTTTGATGGTTAGGTTCAGTATGTTTGGCTTGCTGGTTTTTTTGATGAGCCACAATCAATGGATCTCTTGTGAGAAAAGAGCTTGTGTTTTTAGACGACGTTTTCGACAAGGGAATAAAAAAGTATGTTTTATATCACAGACGGCTCAGTTAATGAAATATAAAAGATGTCACTCAAGTCGAGAAATTCCATTAGTATTGAAATACTAGGATGGTTTATTTGGTTCCTAATTACATAGCACTGTGAACATACCAGGCCCAAGAGACGCCTCTACGACACATAGTTAAAATGAGCACAGTTACAGCACCGAGATGGACAGAGGGCTAGTGCTAGATGACTAGGGAATATGACAGGGTTGAGGGGGATTAATTAGCTCTTCCTACAGGCCGTGCGATTACCGTGTTAAAACTGCTGCTTGATTTCTTCAATCTGACAGAGGAAGTTTAAAACATACAGCAGGGAAACTCAAATTGCTTTGCTTAAAGGCACTTTTAGACAAACGTATGGAAAACCATCTGAAATATGGCAAACTTATTAGGCACAGTCTAAATATCCTTGCTGGCAATTTTAGTGGCAGTCCCTCAAACCCTCTCGTGCCCCCAATAGTTCAAAATGTCACATACTGCACACTACACTTTAAAACTTTGAGGTTGGTAAGATTTTGCGTTTGAAAGTCTCATTTATGCGCACCTAAACTGCATTTATTTAAATACTGTAAAAAATACTGTCATTTTGTGAAATATTATTAAAAAGTTTAATAACTGTTTTCTATTTTAATATATTTAAAAATATAGTGTATTCCTGTGATGGCAAAGCTGAATTTTCAGCGTCATTACTCCAGTCTTCAGTGTCACATGACCCTTCAGAAATCATTCTAATATACTCATTTGCTGCTCAAGAAACATTTCCTATTATTATCAATGTTGCAAACAGTTGTGGAGCATTTTTGTGGTAACGGTGATATATTTTTCTCAGGATTTTTTGATGGAAAGTTCAAAAAGCTGTTCAAAAGAACAGAATTTATTTGAAATATAACCTTTTTGTCACTTTTATCAAATTAATGCATCCTTGCCGAATTAAAAAAAATAAGTAAATAAAAAAAACTTAAAAACAGAATCTTTCAGACCTCAAATTTTTAAACGGTAGTGTATAATTCAGCTATTAACTGAACTGATAAACTAGAAAATATCTTTCCTCCTGTCAGTGTCAGAGATTAGCGATGACTTTGTTCACGCATTCTTTTGCTTAAATCTGGTTATTAAAATTAATAATCAATTGTGAATTAAATCAAACCTAAATAAACACTTTCTCTGCATGTCACGTTTGCAGTTTAGACACAGAAGCAGCAATTGAATTGTGCTGGTGGGCCACTGATAACCTAATGGAGGGCTGGATTTGGGGCCGTGATGATGGTAAATGGGACAGAGGAAAAGAGGAAGAAATAAAGAGACAAAGTCAAAGTGCCTTTGACCTGTCATTTCCACTGTCATCAAATATCCTGAGCCCTCACTGTGGCAACTCCAATCCTGTATTTGTACAGAGAAGGATATCAATCAAAACACCACAGGAACTCTTCAGGATCCACAACATTAGGGCTGTCTGTCACATACTAAAGTTTAGTATATCATGATTTTCAAAAACAAAAATGCTTTAAAATTTTTAAATCTAATACAAATATCAAAAAGCACATTTAAGACCATGGCAAGTATTTCTCATTTAAGTAAAAATGACTTGTCTACAAGCTTTTACACTATATATTAACTACTCTTCACAAACCCATACCACATGGTCACATGAACATCTGTTCTAACACCTATGTATCACTAATATTTAGTATATATCGATATGGCATCACTGAAAGAGAGCTGAAACACAGTTCGACATGACTCAATGACTACATTGACACTCATGGGTGCTGGACCACTAAAGCACTGCTATCTTCAATAGACACACACACACACACACACACACACACACACACACAGACAGACAGAACTGTCCCAGCTGAGAGAAAGTGAGTTGATAATAGCACAGTGTTTTAGTCGATAGTACAAACACTATCATTTTTTCATCTGTCAGAGCTCTGGATTCTGAACACAGTCTCTGTCTGTCATGTATAACTTCACTGTCCTGTTCTCTCAATTAGGTAACAGACTGACAGTGTGCTTTTTTGAGACCAGCCTTGGCTCTGGCACATTGCTAATTCTTGAAACCATGATCTTAAAGTACTAAATTGGCTACAATGTCTCATGATGGCTTGATGGAAAATATAGCATTAGTAAATGCACTAATGATGGCCACTGTATTTTGTTGTAACAATTAACTATTAGAGTAAATATTTATGTGGTCAAATGAGTCTGAGGTTATGGTCTAATGTCAATCAAACATGTCAAACAAGCTATAACATCTGCTTATCTTCATTTATTGAATATGTTTCTTCTGCATTTTTTAAATGGGACAAAACTAAAATTTACACTACTGTTCAAAAGACTGGGTTCAGTAAGATAAAAAAAAAAAAAAAAGGAATTTAAAAAGTGCCAATATAGACTGAATATAATATTGAATATAATTTCAATTTCAAATAAATGCTGTACTTCTGAACTTTCCATTCAGCAAAAAAAAAAATATGTATCACAGTTTACACAAAAAAATATTAAGCTCTTTTCAACAATAATGAAAATTTTTTTCTTGAGCAGCAAATCAGCAAAGTACAATGATTTCGGAAGGATCATGTGACACTGAAGACTGAAGTAGTGGCTACTGAAAATTCACAGGAATAAATTACATGTAAAATATATTCAAAAATAAAACAGTTATTTAAAATTATTGCAATAATATTTCATAATATTACTGTTTTTACAGTATTTTTCATCCAATAACTGCAGCCTTGGTGAGTATAAGAGATCTAAAAAAAAAAAAAAAACATGAAAAGATCTTACTGACCCCAAACTTTGAAAAAACTAAGCTGCAAAAGATGGCCATTCAGAAACCGTTATAAGAATGACATCATAACCATGAGCACAAACACAGAGAAGACAGAAACAGAGAGACCAGTGTCGCCAGATCTCACTAGAAAAATGAGTGAAAAACAACAGGCTCAAAATAAGTGGCTTTTCACACCAAAAGTAGTCTAATGAATGTGTATGTAAATAAAACTTCTTAATTTCATTCAGCATTGTAGCATAAATTACATATAGCATATATGATGCAAAAGGCCACAGATAAAATGTCTTGCGTTAATTAATAAATATAATTTAATTTAAATGTCTCACAACTGCGTTCTGGAAATAATCCTCTTTTTTCACCTCATTTAAAAAAAAAAACATTTACATTTTACTTATAAGCGCTTTAAAACTCACTGAAAAAACAAGCCTAAAATCATTAATTCTAAGGGATCAGGGCAACACCGCATATGACATATTTAGTATTAAGCAACATGTACTGCCCCGATGAAGGCCAGCGTGATCTCTACACCACCAATCATAACAGAGGGTCAGAGAGAGGGTGAAAAATAAATAACAGCTGTTTTTGGTACAAGAAACTGTATTCATTTTTTTTTTGTAGACATCAGGGGAACAAACACAGTTAATAATATTCATAAATTTTAGATGTGTTTGCTCACCTTATACTTGCTGCTGTCCTGTACGGAGTCTCCCTCCCTGAGCCAGCTGACTGAAGGTTTGGGATTCCCGAAGGCCGTGCAGCTCAGAGTGATGCTGCCCCCCTCTTTGGCCTCCACATACTGCGGCGGTGTGTCCGTGAAAGTTGGGGGAGCTGTGACACAGAGAAACGATGTAAAATTTCCCTATCTGTTCTCCATTATTTCCGGAAATAAATCAGCCTGGCGATAAGGCAGGTTCATTCATAACAATATTATGTCCTATCATATACGTGTCTTTTACAGACCCTGTTGAAGTATGACTCAAGCCTCACCACTAATGGATCGAGCCATATGAGTTCAGAAAGCCATCGGAGCTGTTAGCTCGTACCTGTGAATAAGAGGGACTGCTGGTCATGGATCTGCCTCCTGCATACATATGTGGTCATTTATGAGCTCTTAGTATACGGTTTATGAGCTCTTTGGCTGGCATCTCTCACACTGTTAATAATTCTGCTCCTGCTCCACGGCCAGTTCTCCCCCAGCCTTGATTTAGTGGCTAAAATCTCACTTTTCATTATCTATAAATCAGAATGGGGAAGGGGTGGCCATGCCTTCATGCATCACATGGGCTGCGGTGTGCTTGGATATTTTTGTGGGCTGGAAAGCACAGCACTGAATGATAGATCAGGTACAATTCAACAGTTCTTCACAGTTTAGCTAACTTTTCAATGTATGAAAGGTTCGAAATAAGGTTCAAAATTCATTATTTGCCACAACTGCTAATGGTGGATGAACAGAGAACAGTTATGATTACTCTAAATAAATAAATAAAACCACATAAATGCAAATCAATTAATAAAACGCACAGCAATTAAACACAAATATTTTAATTAATTTGTGTCCATTTACATCGCAAAACAACTTTGCATAAATTAGTTTTATTAAAATATTAAATATACTTAATGCATGCATGTTTTTATTGTAGCATAAATATTTGAATGTTTACATTACATACAACAAAAAAATAAATCATTAAATATTTTTATGTACTTTTTTATAAACAAATCATACACAATGCATAAATTTATAGCTGGAAAGAAATATTTTATTAAAATGTATTTATTTATAAATGTGTGTAGGTGTGTTATATATTTATAAAATATATAAGTGCCATCTGAAAATTTCTTCTAAAATTAGCATTTTTATCAGGCTCATATGTTTATGTTCATTTATTTCACTTTAATGGCATAGAAAAGGACCTATACACTGCCATTAAAGTGACATTTCTGAACCTAAACATAGGAGCCTGATTAAAATGCTAATTTTAGAAGAAATTTTTAGATGGCACTTAGAGGCTTTTGCATCTGAACTCTTCATATATATATATATATATATATATATATATATACACACACATGTACTTTTATTTTTATATACTTTATGGAAAACCACTTGAATAGTTTTTTATTATTATTATACAAATTATTTAATATATACAATTTAATATTACACATAATTAAAAAAAATAATATTACACATAATTACATATTTTTTTCAACACCTACATGCATACACACGTATATGTTATAATGCCCAGATAACATGCTATGAGACATAAATATGGAGTAAAGCAAGCATAACGTGGCACCATACGTGTTTTTTTGTGAGATTGTCTGGTTACAGTGTGCGGCTCAATGCATCTCCTGTGTGTGATAACTTGAAATGGGTTTCAGTTTTGTAACACTGGAGGGGGAATTATGTTGTGCTGCGTGATATTTTATTCAGGACCATCAAATTATTAGTGACTTGTTGCATAATTGGTCATATTTCTTATTGTGTTTCCACAATTTTGTTTATTGCGTCTCTTGAAATTAATTTGGTGGTTACACTTACACAATTATTTCTAGGCACAATGATTGAGAATCAATGATTGATTCTAGGCACAACGTTTGAGCAGAGGATGACAAAGGAACACTAGGGAGAAACATTTTTTTTTTCAAACGTGTTCAAATATTTAAGACAGCACTGTGACAAGAGGGTCACACATTACCACATACATCACAGGAACATCTTGCTCTCCAGGAGCAAAGAAAATATGGGTTTAGCGATATCTCTGCACTTACAGAGACCTGGACTGAACCCTTCTCAAGCCAAGCATCTATTATACATGGCTCTAAATGTCAGTAAAACCTGACTGTCTGTGAAACTACTACTTATAATATTAATTTCCACACCTTGTTTTGCCATTTTCAGCACTGCTTTATTCTGCTTAATTAAAACTTAAACGTTTTCAGTTTTTGAAGGAACCCCCAAGATCAGATGGCACATGACCAGAGTGCTGAAGGCAACATTTCTGAGGCCAGCCGCTAAGACATCTGTGCAAAACACGCCTCCATCTGCTGCGAGTCTCCGTTTACTGCCTTACACACTCTGACACACTGCTGACCTGTGATGTTAACACACTCACACACTCATGAATGTGGAAAGCACAGGCACACTATAGGCTAATGAGGAAGCTGTGTGTGTCTTATATAAAAAAACAGCCTCATCTGTGATTGTTTTCATGTTTCATAGTCACTAAAAAGCAGCCAATTGATATGGACATCTAAGTTTGCCTTTGCTTTTCAATCTTCATTCCCATTAGTGTCTAAACATTCAGGCAAATCCACTTGACATTAGCTAAATGCCTGCCACAGCACGCCAAATGGAAAGAGAGCAACTGCCCAACACCTGCTGTGTATACAAATCACTGAGAATATGCCTCACCAGATTAAAAATGCCTTGCTCCAAATATTACTCTGTGATGTAGCGAATAATCCAATAGGTTTAAGATTACTATTCTGTCAATATGAAATTAAGTGACCTAGTGAATATTGCAATGGTGTTTTATTTGGCCATCATGATTTGTTCCTAAAATATTGGAGCTCTAGGGCATGTGAGTGAAAAAGGACAGACAATGAAAAAAATAAATAGGGGAGGACTTGTTTTATGAATCAGGAATTGATGAGATTATGAAAGGTGTCTGTTTCATTTCAGAAATGGAGAAAGTATTTTTGTTTTGATTTTGTATTGCATGCATTTTGTACATTTTGCTTTCAAATTAACTGTAGTAGCAAAAAAATGTGTGAAGTGGTATTCAGTTCATTTCCATTAATTATTTCAAAACAAGATTCAACAATGAATTTGCATCATTTAAAACATGACACTATCATTCAGAAGTTTAGGGTCACCAAGGCTACATTTATTTGATCAAATATACAGTAATACTGTGAAACTTATCACATATTTCTTATTATTAGTGTAATAACTGTTTTATATTTTAATATATTTATTATATTTTTTTCTGCTGAAAAGCTAGATTTTCAGCAGCCATTACTCCAGTCTTCAGTTTCACATTATCCTTCAGAAATCATTCTAAAATGCTGATTTGCTGCTCAAGACATTGTTCTTTTTATTATCAGTGTTGAAAACAGTTGTGCTGCACAGTAACAAAATCTTTACAGAATTCTTTGATGAAGAAAGTTCAAAATAATTAAATTTATTTGAAACCGTAATGTTTTGTAACAATGTAAAAGAAAAAGTCTTCACTGACATTTTTGATCAATCATTTTATATACTCTTAAAAAAATCTGTAAAAAAGACCACAATTAACTGTATTATTTTGAAGGAATATTCCATATTTGATTTTACCTGTATTTTGATTTTTGTACTGCATTTAGTTTTCGAATTAACAGAACTGTCATTAAAATTAAAGGCATAATATGTCATTTTCGCTGCTAGAGGGCGCGTATTCAAAATAAACAAATAGACAAAGGCGTAGTTTGATGAGGCCGTGACTGGGTGTGGAATCATGGGAGTTGTTGTCTTCATCACCACAGCCGACGCAATCCGATGGGACTTGGGCAGAAATCATGTTCATGGATGAGCTAATGTGGATAATTCCCTGGGAGAAAATCACTAGTACATTTTTTATTTTTTTTTTGGATGTATCGCCCAGCTATAGCATTAACACAACCAGTATGTAGCAGTTCACAGTCCAGCTGGGCTTGAGAAACACAAAGTGGACGTAACAGAGCCCTTCAACAGGTTGCGTTTAGCTGTGCGGCCATAACAGAAGCAATTTCTTCTATGACTGAAGCACACAAGAGCCTCTAACTCAACCCCATTACAGCATGAGGTCTGTGTCTTCATAAGTTTGTCCTTTTATTATTTCAGCCAACACACAGGCAAATAGTGAGAGTCCTGGAATAGAGCTGTTGAATTTGCCAAACGATCACCTGCTCACCCTCTGCGCGTACACACACACCAATACGAAAAAAAACACACACACATTTTGTCTTCGGCACTACATAATAATCCCTCCGATATTTCCCAAGGATATTTCTGAGGCAAGATGACATCATCTCTTTTGCAATGAGTGTGTGTCAGCCGGCAGCCGGTGATAAAATCACAAGCTCTTATCACAGGCACAGATTGTGTGAAGAATTCAGCTATAATAAGGCTCTGTGGTTACACCGGCCACACAGGCAGATGTTTTAGCGCATACACACACATACATACACACACACACTAACAACACATGCATTGCACCAGTGAGAGCTAATTGGCAGGAGAAGCATGGAGAGAGGGCTGCGTGGAGCTAGTCCCACAGGAACATCTTCATCCTGCTCTTCTTCCTCTCAGGATCCTGCACAGAGCTGAGCATCTGTGCGAATGCTGCTCACTGGATTACACCTCATCAGATCACAAGAACTGTTTACACACACGCAAATATACTGTAAGTGAACCGCACCAGCTGTACACACCGGCATGAAGCTGTTATCTGTCACCTGCAGGGAGAACCCGAAGCAAAGTGAGAGTTTTGAATGCAGAAAGGACTAAATGGGTTGAAATTTACACTTGGTACGAATCTACATGTCATGCATTGAACAGAATTTCAGGATGGTGATCACAATATTGAGATAATATTGTTATCAAATAAAATATAAAATAAAAATAAAATCCAGAAGTCCACAAATAAAATGTAAAATATTTACTATTATTTATTCTGTATTATTTATTACAATTTTAAATGATGTAATTTTATTATTGCAGCTAACAGCTATTTGTAATTTATTCATTTATAACCTTTTTTTCAGCGTAATAATTCACAATGGTACATCTCACAGGTCAA